TCCCTGTGGTTCGACCTCGGACTTCCGAGATTTACTATTTGCGACAACCTGCACTTGGGTTTGCAAACTTAAAGTTGTAGCAATCCACATTATCATTGTCATTCTGATTTTGTTGTTCTTCAATAACTAAATTTTTCGATGTTTCTTCTATCTCTTTTCTTTTCTTGACGTTAAAGTACTTGTCCATATCTCCAGCCTGACTTCGAATTAATGCCTCTACTCTTTCTCTCTTCTTCTTCTTCTTCTTCTTCTTTTTGAACTCCAGATGCATATTTAGGAGATATAGTATTTGACTCAAATCACTCGACAGCTAATACTGCTTGAAATTGAATATATTAAAGGACTTATATGGGCATCACAAAGTAAAACAAGCATGATAAAAATAGAAGAAGTTCACGTATAAGGTGCAAATTTTTATAATTTTACTTTATATTGCTTTTCTATAACTTTTTACACTTTTAAGTGTGATCTTTCATAATTCCACTACTTTAAATTGCTTTTCTATAAATCATAATTCCACATTTCCACTACTGCCAAAAAGTTACTTAAGATCAAAGCCTACCAAAGCGTTGTGCTTGCCTATATCTCTAGAAAAAAGAATAAAGACACATAAACCTCTATTAACTTTTCCCAATTACACGAGCAGCTCTAAAAAATTGATCGTATATAAATAACTTTTCCCAAGTTACCTATACATTAATAAATAATTTTTTATACTACATTTACCATCTACATGTACACATAATATATAAGCGTGGTTATACTCATACCACATTTTTTTTTAATATACTACATTTTAATTTTATTAAAGGTCATTAGCTTTTTTACTTTACCACACTTATATAATTGACATTTTTTCATCATATTCTTATTTTTGTCATTTCATTAATTAGAAATTCTTGTCATTAATCACGGTTTTATCCAAAATTATTATTAACGTGCTTTAAAATGAGATTTTTTTTTCACATTTTTGCAGTATTATTTGTTTTGCTTATTTAAAAATATAATGGACACATGAGTATTTTTACTTTATCAAAAGAAAATTTTGTAGAGAAACGAAACAATTTATGTTAATTCAAGAATACGATAAAATAAGTTTAAGAATTTATTTATTTAAATTTAATTTTCTGTAATATACACAACAAAAAGAAAAATGCTACATGTACACTTAGTTTGACAACCCTCTAATAGGGGGTGGGGCCACGATTGTTTTATAGTCGTGGAGGCAGGAGATATATGGAAGACAAAGGAAGCTTACCGGGGAGATCCCATGGCTCAGTTTTACTCAAATCAACAACCATCAAATCGACGTACTCAATTGCTTCATCGACATCTTTTTTTTTGAAGATAATGACACACTATCTCTTCATCACTGGGATTAAACTCCTATGCCATTTTTTATATTTAAGTTCTTAAACTAAGCACTCTTTAAATGATAAATCTTACTTTAGAAATTTAAATTATTTGAATATATATATATATATATATATATATATATATATATATATATATATATATATATAAAATCAAACACACTCTAAATCTTTTGTGAACATGATGCAGAATCTCCAAATTACTCCTTTTAATTTTATCAAGAACGAGAGATATAAGTGATTAATTTTGTACATTTAATTATAAATGAAAACATTCACAGGGATACCAATTTGTAGACATCATATTTTATTGCTACAATTTAAATGTCAAATAAATATGAATTATGAATCTCTACTAGTCTACTGTCCTTTCTTCAGTCTTCTAGAGAGATGTAAGGATCAAGTTTAATCAAATTGTTAGGTTTGTGCAATAAGAGTTTATTAAATAAAAATGCCAACTGAGATTAGTAATAATTAATTATTGAAAATATATATTCCTTGTTCCTTCTCGAAAAATTAATTAATAGTAATACATTAATGACATTTTGGGTATTTTTCAATTTCAATATAATAAAGAAGAATATTGTTATCCAGTATTACTGGTGCTAAAACATTAATCTAAGTTGCATTAAGTAATAGACTTAATGAAAAGTAGAATTAAATAATTTATTTAATAATAACTCATTTAATTTCACATTAGTGTCACCTAAACTAGTATTTTAACATCGAGTAATGTCATTTGCAGTCGCTCACTATCGTAGTTGTCCTATATGGTATATATGTGGCGGTTAATAATTTGAATCAGATCACTAACCGTCACATATATGTCACGTAGGGCGATTGCAATAGCGAGCAACTGCAAATAACATTATTCTTTTTTTTTTTTTTTTTTTTTACAAGGTGTCCTATTCTAGACTAATCCTTGGGTCTGTGATCCGGCCCCTCTTCACACAGTCCGGTTAATCGCAGGATGTGCCTCCAACTGGCCAGGGTCCGAGCGCTCCCCACCTGGTCTGACAAAGTGCCAAGCAAGCCAATCCAAGTTGCACCTTGCCTTCCAAGAATAATCCTTGCCTTCCAAGTTCCCACTTGCCTTCCAAGAATAAATCCTTGCCTTCCAAATGTTCACTTGTCTTCCAAGAATAAATCCTTGCCTTCCAAGAGCCCCATGTTTCGAACTCACGACCTCTGCTCTGCCAGGTTTGACAGCGTCCGTCCTTTGCCAGTGGAGAAGTGCCCTGGGGGGCGCAAATAACATTATTCTTTAACATATGTGGTGGTATTACTCTATATTAAATGAGGTTAATACATTCTCATTTAATGCGTAAATATTGTCAGGTTAGATGCATTTTTGGGAACTTTGTTTGCTAGATTGTTGGGATGTCATAATAATTGAAGTATGATTTTTATGCACGTGAGTGAATCTATTTCTATCTAATTTTATTTACAATAACAAAATCACAATCTGTAAAATTTGAACAAGTGAATTTGTGCTTGTCATAGTATCTATCATGCATGAATCTGGTGTACATAATAGGAATAAGGTAGGTGAGAACATGTATCAAATAATAACGATAATAAAAATATGAAAAATAATTTAACTTAGAAGATATAAAATCAATATCACAAAATTTCAAAAAATAGGGGCTTAAATAGAGCCTTAGCTCCCGTTTGGTCTCCATTATTTCAAATTATAATGAGTGGAATAGTTTATTTATTTATTATATATATATATTTTTTGAGAATGAGTGGTTGAAAAAGAAGGAAATTTTTTTAATTTACGTGTAATATTATTTTATGGAAGATTGTGAGGTTGAAAATAGGAGTGAAAGAAAATTTAATTTAATGGGGACAAACGGGAATTTAAGCTATAAGGTAAATTTCATTTCAAATGACGGTGAAATAAATACAATCATACTGGGATTTTAACCACTCATCTTAGTAATATTGCCTTTTTAGGATATAAATTCAAATCTTTAATAAGTTCGTCGAACAATTTCATCTGACTAGAACTTAAATGAGCTACAATATTACGAGATATATTAAGTGTAAATCCTCTATCTAATGAGGACAAAATAAATTAACATATAAAGATTAATGTTACTAATTTTTACGACATTGACATTTTAAAATGGAATCTCAAATTTGAATACATAATTATCGTTGTCTTAATTATCTAAAATACTTCAAAGCAATGTTCTATGTAGTGGATTACCAAGAATGTGGAAATTAGATCCATAATGTTATCAACTTTTTATCCAATGTTAATATATTATGAATACCTAATAAAAGTCAATGACACTTTCCAAAGTTCCCCTTTCATGATAAGATGAACCTACAATGATTAAACAATTACTTTAATCACTTGATTAAACAATTAATTTCAGCTTTCGTTTGGAGATTTCCAATAACTTCACCCAACAAAATTTTAGCTATTTGGGAGCGATTTTTCCTCCCAAAAAATTGATTTTTTGACCGTTATTTCATTATTTCAGTCGTCATATTTGATTTCTTCTATCACAGATGGACCCCACTTTTCTCAAACAGTCAAAAAATCAATTCTCTAAGTCACTCCCAAATAAGCTCTTAATTTCTGTTTTTCCTCAATACCATTTTATAATAATTAAAATCTGATCATCGAGCCAATATATTTCTATGCAAAATCTTGTATATAATTTTATTTTAATTTGAAGTTAAAATCAAATATTAATTCTGTTACACGATCACAATTATTATTCACCTATTATTTACATATTTCGAAGAATTTATTATTCCTTATTTCACCTTAATTTGTTAACAACCTATATTAAGAGAGTTAATATATCAATCCCTGCCTGAATATTTTTTCTTCAATTCTTTAATTAATCACAATTAAAAAACATTTTAGAAAATAATTTCGAGCACTAATTCAATTAATTTTTACCACAATCCATAATCCCCAAATATTAAACATATTATTCTGAATATTAAAACAAGAATTTTGTTAGTTGTACAACTGGGATTGACAATCTCATCACAAGAGGTGCTCGTGATTTTTTTATTCATTGTAGCTTCAATTGTACATATAGCATGACCGGCCGTTAAAACAATACATGTCGAAAAACACGAAATTTTTACCACGAGTAAGTTTGGCAGATTTTAAACAATTTAATTACGAGCAATTTCTTCTAAGTAAATAAGTAACTTTTTAATTAAAATAAAAGAACTTACTCTTAAGTAATAAGTAATTTTTAATAATTAAAATTGAAAAAAAAAAATTACTAATTTTGACAACAATCCAAACCCTCTCTAACCCAAACCCAAACCCAAAGTTCACCATAACAACAAAGTGAGAAACCTTAACAGGAAAACCTAAAAATATGTAATTATAACTATGATCAAAGAACAAAAGGGGGAAAAAGGAAATAATTCCATAACCAGTTCAACCTTTCCCCAACCAAAATCCTCTCTCTGCATATTATACATGTATATAAACCAAGAAAACCCAAACCCAAAAACCTACAAGAACACAAATTACTCATATATATAAAGAACTACCGTCATAATACACTTATAACAGTAATAGGGTTTTAATTATAATGAAATTATTGAATTGAAATTGATTAGGAAATTGTTTATATTTAGGGATTGTTAAATGCACGTGGCGGTGGATCTCAATTGGTTCCTGCGATTCGTAGTTGCACCATTCTTGGTGGCTTTTGGGTTGCTCCAACTTCTGAGAAACACCGCCTCCAAGTATTTCGTTGTCGACAACAATTTTGAGTCGGATTACTCGTTCGATCGCAACAAGGAGAAGATGGCGGCCGCCGATCATTGCGTCGTCTGTGAAAGTAGAACCATGAAACAGTGCGCCCGTTGCAAGATGGTAAAGTATTGGTACGTACACAAGTACATGGTTTATGGGTTTTATTCAATTTTTTCCATGTGTTGGGTTTTCATGTCGCTGATTTTATACTCATTGTTTCATTACGGGATATCGACAAACTTCTTCACGTGTTCATTCAATGGAATTTATTTATTTATTTTTAATTTTTTTTTTGTGTCTACCCTGTTTTTGTAGGAACTAAATAGTTATGTAATTTTAATATTTTGTATCTTGTGCTTGAAAGTCTGTACGTCGTTGAATTTGCTTTCGGAATGTTAGTTTACATGTAAGGTCATCGTATGGTCTCCCGCTGAATATATTGGTGCGTGTGTGTGTGTGTAGAATGCACGCTCTACTGGCTGCGCACATAAGTGTTATGTTCGTTGTGTTTATGTAGTTTAAGGAATTCATTAACCTAGTGATGAAAGTATGTTACTCCTGACAAGGAATAGAACCCTTCGCGTCACAGTAACTGCTGAACAAATGTTCCCAACATGTTAAATATTAATTGACACACTAGCTTCCATGGAGGTAATGAATCAGGTACTCAAACATGCACCAGAGGAAGCCTATGACCAAAAATTTAGCTGTTCTTTTATCTCTGCGATGACACTATTGTGTGTTAGGTCCAAGCATTAGTTTCTATGTTTGGGACTACTTTATTTGCGAGGTGGTATGCAAACTGCTGATGATAATTGAGATTATTCAGCGACAGTCTAGTTGCTGCTCTATCTTTTATTCATTTAAGCGAATAAGTAATTTTAATGCCTCATTGCACATCTACGTACATCTAAATTCACAAAGAAATAGGGCTCTGGTTCTTTTTCTTCAAATTAAAGTATGATTGCCCTGTTGATAAATTCATTGATTTATTTCATTTTTAATTCAAATAAACTTTAAATGATGTAAAAGCATTGTATGGTGCATGCTAAATTTCTCGTCACGTGTTTATTTTATTTTAAATCCCTGTTTGGTATTGATTTAAATCAGATTTTAGTCAAAGTCAAACAATCAATATTAACCACATCTTTCATGGGTACCACAACTTTTCAACCACATATTTCAAATACTTCTATCAAAATCTAATTTTAATCCCTACCTAACTGGGGCTAAATATTCTTATACCGTGAGTTTATTCAAATAAATATGGTGTGTGCGCTTACAATCAACCCTAATGGTGGTTGTGTGAAAATACCTCTGTGCTTAATTGTGTGAGTAGTCTGTCTTGTCTGGTGTATATGAGATGGCTTGGGGTTTTTAAGAGCCTGCAGGTTTAGGCTAATTCAATACTTTAATGTATACAATGGGGCCCTTCTTGTGTATTCGGATGCTAAGCTTCTTTGGGTATAGAAATTATGTTAATTGACCCCTTTATAATTCCATGAAGAAGATTGCGGAGAATTAGAATCAGTGCAATGGATTTCTAACCTCCCATTCAGGCTATCTCTCTGTATCTTCTTTCCTAACTGGATAACCCCTTAAGATTTTTGATGTAAGAAATGTCCTCGTGCTTTTGTCAATGTCTGCTATTGCTACTTGGCTTGTGCTATTGATTTCGTCTCATCACTCATTTTTCCAAGTGCTATTTTCTTTGAATTGCTTTAGATTCACCAGAAAAGAGTATAAACGTTCTTTCTATATTATGAAGCTTATTGTTTTAACTTTACCCCTGAAATTCTAGCTCTGAAGCTTGCCAAATATCTCACTGGTCTGAGCACAAGAAGAAATGCAACGATTTACAATTGTCTCGTAAAGCTAATTCTATGCAATCTACATCTATTTTGAGGGGAAAAAATGCTTCATTGGTTCCTGCTGGTGGGAGCTCCAAGATTTTCAAGCACTCGAAAGAAGTAATTGACTCTCTATTTCTGTATGCTCTTTGTATGGAAATATTACTGATTCAACTCTGACAAATTCTGCCGCATTCATGTTTTCAGATACTTTTCCCTTATGAGGAATTTGTGGAACTTTTTAATTGGGACAAGCCTGGTTTTTCTCCTTGTGGACTCTTAAATTGTGGAAACAGGTATGGTTTAGTGAATGTACCTATTCCTTAGAACTGTTTCTTCTAGCTTGTTCATTGATCATCTGAAATCTCAAATACCCATATTATGCTCCCTCTGCCTCTGCAGCTGCTTTGCTAATGTGGTTCTCCAATGTCTTGCCTATACTCGGCCACTTGTGGCCTACTTGTTGGAGAAAGGCCACCGTAAAGAATGTAATTACACTGACCTACAAAACTCATCCAACATTAATATGACTCATTATTCCTCTTGTTTCATATTTATTGTTGGATACTCCTTATTTTCTGCATTTACTTTTACATGTACCCAGGTCAGCATGATAATTGGTGCTTTCTGTGTGAATTTCAAACTCATGTTGAAAGGGCTAGCAGGAGTCTGCAGCCATTTTCTCCAGTTAACATTCTATCACGATTGCCTAATATTGGTGGTAATCTTGGCTATGGGAAACAGGAGGATGCCCACGAGTTCATGAGGTTCTTATAACTCGAGTCACATCTGATTTTGATTTACATACTATTCGTGCCTTTTCAGAGTTTTAAGAAAGTGTTTTGAACCCATTTTTATTTTACTGTGATATATAACTAACTCAGGTAGGTACTATTCAATGTTTTGTAGGTTTGCCATTGACACAATGCAAACTGTGTGCCTTGATGAATTTGGTGGAGAAAAGGCAGTTCATCCTAGATTCCAAGAGACCACCCTTATTCAGCATATATTTGGTGGTCACCTTCAATCTCAGGTCTAATTAGTTTTGCTAGAGTTTTGCTCTACTTTTGTTTCATTTTCCTCCTTCCCTCTATCCTCTTCTTTCCTCTCTCTGCCCTTCTGTCTTATTTTATTTTATTTTACTTTGCTTTCACAGGTTATCTGTACAAAATGCAACAATGATTCGAACCAGTTTGAGAACATGATGGATTTAACTGTCGAAATTCATGGTGGTGCTGCATCTTTGGAGGAATGTTTGGACCAGTTCACTGCCAAAGAGTGGCTTCATGGGGATAATATGTATAGATGTGATGGGTAAGCATTCTTTCTTATAGCATGGATACACCTTATATTTATTTTCATTCTTTCATAATGTGAATTCCCTGCCCCAACCTACCTATAATCTATATTCATGTTCTCATTTGTGTCTGCTTTACTTGACCTGGTACTTCCACTAATTTTACAGGCATGGAGGAATCTAAATATTTCATTAACTTTATAAAAGAATGAACAGACTAAATCTGCTACTCTCACAGAGCTTTTGCCTTTTGCCAAGTACAAGTGTCTAGGTTCTGTTTGACAGTACAACGAGCATATTGTTGCATAACTTTTTTTCTTCCTCTCTTCAGTTTCTTTGTAGGTTGATACAATTCTTTTTTCTTCGCAATTTAATTTTGTATCAAGAAAGGGTGCTATGTGCCAAATTTGTTTTATTAGAAAATACCCTTTCTTTGACATAATTTACCATAGGCAGTATGCACTTTACTGCTATTTTCTGTGCTTCTCTTGTCTCTTCATCAGTAACACTGACCTACTGGAATGGATCCTGCCTGCAGATGCAATGATTATGTTATGGCATGGAAGCGCCTTGCAGTCCGGCGGGCACCCAACATTCTTACAATTGCCTTGAAAAGGTTTCAGGTTAGTTCTTCACTCCCATTTTGCCTTTATTTCCATCAAATTAAAATATTTAGAACTAATCATAAAAAAATGTCGAATAAGAGGACGGCAAAATTCACTATGCCAGACAATGGGTATGTGAGTTTCTGATCTGAATGCCTTTGAATGGATTAGTGCCTAGGTACAGGCTAAAAGGATTTTTTTTTGCCCCCCGGGTAGAAATGGATCAGATTTCGTTTGACACCTAAAAGAACAACAGTTTCAGGTTCTTTACCTGTTTTGGGTAAAATTTGTCGCCTGAAGCCGATAGTTTATCAATCGGTTGTTGAACATATACCCATTTAATAGCTATCACTGAAAAATGCACTTAATTTTACCCGTTTCTTCTTCAGCGATTACTAGTAAACGTCATTCTTCAAAAGATAAGTGCATCTAGTCAGGCTGTTAGTTTAAATGGATATTTTACTAATTACTTAATTTGAACCGATTTACAAATTTCTCATTGGTGTTCAATGCTTGAGGTAATTCCTACTGCTTCTCTGATGAAAGACATGGTTTTTTATTTGATCGTAAATGAACTGAAAACTTCAGTCAGGGGAAATTCGCTTCACTGTTTATTTAGTTTCTGAGGGATGCGTCTTTTTCTGGTGCAGAGTGGGAGGTTTGGTAAACTTAATAAGAGGGTGACATTCCCGGAGACTTTGAATCTGAGCCCTTACATGAATGAATCAGATGGCAATGATGTTTACAAGCTATATGCAGTTATTGTCCATGTGGACATGTTAAACGCATCATATTTTGGTCATTACATATGCTATGTCAAAGATTTTTGTGGAAACTGGTACAAGATTGACGATTGCAAGGTAAAAATCTCTATATGTGCATAGCACCAGCATCGTGAATTAAATGCCGGTCTTTGTTGCCTATGCAGCATTGTGTCATAATATGTCCTTGTGATCTTTGTCTCAGTATACCTCATATGTGATTGTTATGATTTGTGCGAACAAGTCCTATGATATAGGAGTCTTGAGTCTATATTTACTAATCCCCTGTCTTGCATTGAAGGGTTTCCCTTTTAGTTTTTGGGATGTTAGGGATTAATTTTCTCAGTCTTGATTAGATAACTGTTTTCCAAAAAAATTAACTTTCCTTTAAAGGGGGATATAGTTCCGTTGATATTTTTACAGTTCCACTGGAGGAAGTCGTTTTGAAGTTTAGCATGATGAAGTTATGATGTGTCATTAAAAACATGTTTTCTTTTACGTGGTGCTATATATGTGAATAGCTATTCAGAAAGTAATTCAATTGAGAGATGTGGCCAATCTTCACCTAGAAGAGTTGCTTCCTGTTCAAATTTGGTTGTTCATTTCGATTGTTGGCTAACTAAGATCAAAGTATTGAGAAGATAAGCAAGTTTAGCCATGTTTCAATGAACAATGACCCAAACAAATTGTTTGAATGGATATGCTCTTCTGATAAGCACTGATGGGACGTGTTCTAATTGAACACTCAAAAATGGATACCTGTTTCTCGTTAAAGTTCCACTTTGAATGGGAGAAGCAATTCTTGGAAAATCCCGCTGCATTTTTGAAAGAGAGAATAGCATTGCAATGTCATCTTCATTCTTGTCTGCACATTCACTTCATATTCCTTATTTTTCCTTCAATTCATATTCCTTATTTTTCTTCTCAGGTTATTAGCGTTGATTTGGATGAGGTGCTTTCACAGGGAGCTTATATGCTCTTGTATAACAGGTATCTCTTGTTCTAGTGCTCTTAATTGCAGACCGCTTTAAAATTACCCCAATCAACACTTTGTGAAAGCAGATGTAAAAAATTTCATCATGTTATTTTTCAGAAGTTGCTTATCCTTTGAATGGCACTTCTTTATTTCTGAGAAATCCCAGATATCTACATTTGCTAAATAAGGAAACTTCTCTAAAACCTCCAGAGTCTTTGTGCAGAATAACCTAAAACAAACAAAAAGTGGAAACTGTATCAGAACCACTAATTTTACAGAGAACGGGATATTTGTTGTCCAACATCTGTATAAAGTACCCCTCAAAAGTAAACACAAAGGCACAACTCAAATGATTTCTAGCTTGTTTGGTTAAGCTATAGGACTTTGAGATTAGTTTAGTTAACGCAACATATAATCTAGGTGTAGCTAAGCTATAAGATGCTCTTAAGATGCTCAATTGTATGATGAGTTAATGCAACATATAATCTGGATTCGTGGTCAGATGACGGAATTGAAAACCTTGGAGGTCTTAATTAGAACCTTTCTAAGAGACTAAAATGTAAACTGCTTTATTTAAAGCGTGGATCCTTAAAATTGAGTTCCAACAGACCCTCTAATTTAACTTTTTAATACAGAGTTGGATTGACTCTCTACGCTTGGAGCTCTGTATTTCTATTTTATAATGATTGAATTTAATGAGTTGCAATGCTCTATTTCTTGGATTATTTAAACCGTATTTGAATATTTTAGCCTTGGTCATTTAAAACAAAAACATTAATCAAAAAATGTGGAAAAAACAATTAATGGTTATTGGAAAAAGTAAACTGAAGAACCAAACAGAAAAAAATTGTTCGAGTGTGTCAAAAGTTTTACTCTTCAAATAAAAGGTGCTCTGTATTACGTAAAAGATTCTTTTAAAAATGGACTCTTGGATATGCTCTTAGTTGGCTAGGGTATAGAATAGCAGCTAACTCCTCTGGAGGTTAGGTTGTTTAAGTATTGTTGTTCTGTGAACTTAAATGACCTAGACCCAGCATTTGGTTTTCTGGAAGCAATGTCATTTTATGGTTTCACGAGTAATGGAAGGAAAACGATGAGACAAAAACAAGGAGAAGAAAGTTCTTACCCAGGCAGTCCTACTGGAGCATCGTATTTGAATGTACACTTGCTAAAAGAAAACACCAAAATTTGTAGGTCCAAAGAGAGCTACCACGAGAATGAGCTTTGGGGGAGAGTGGCTTCTCATGTGGTTGCAGTGTTATTTCCAATAAAGACAAGATAGCAAGCTGGCTTTACAACTTCTACTATGAATTTAATCAGCTATAAATATTAGCTTGAGTCTCTGGTCCAACCAATGGGATCCTCTGAAGATGCATTCATAAAGAATAAAAAGCATAACTAACGGACCGTTTCATCACTAACATGGATGGAAAAGATGAAAGTAGACACTGTTGAAAAAGAGCACTCATGTCGTTGTCATGGGAGATAAATGTCGAAGGAGAGTTTAGGGAGTTTCGTTAAACCTACAAATCCTCCAAACAAGAAATCAATTAAACACACAAGTCCATTGGCATGTCAAATAAAATGTACAGTGGGAAGAGAACTTTCGAAAGAGAACAACTAAAAAGAAGTATTCAATAAGAGCAGAGATGTATGCAAGTCCTAACTTGCGAAGTTTCAAAAGATATAAGTGATGAAATAATCTCTGAGACGTTGTTAGATATATAAGGGAGGATTATGCAGCCCCTTGATTTTTGTTTTCTTGAATCGCCATTTGATATTTGTTTGGTCAAATCTTATTTAATAGCTGACTAGCCAATGGCCCTGTGTTTAATGACTAACTTAAGTGGAATATGATGGTCTTTTTTGTTGTTTCCTTTGACAGGATCCGTGCTCGCTCATCATGCTTACTTCCTGCTGAATCTAAAAGGAAAGATAAGGAAAAAATGGAAATGGAAGTAAATCCATCACCGAATTAGCCTGCTGAGGGCTTCTCTCCAGTAGGATGCCTCGATAGTCCTGTTGATTCTGGACCATCAGCATCTACTAATTGTTTAGGATCAAATATCGCAAAGGGGGAGGAAAACTTATCATCTTCAACTGATTCTATAGATGCTAGAGGGGATATAGAGGTGGTACATTCTGAAGCAAGTCTGCAAATTGTCAAGGATGTTGCACATGTATACCGTAATGGATGCTTTGATGCACCTGAAGAAATTGATTCTATTGTTGAACATGCTCATCAACCAGCCACTGGGAATATTTCAGTGATTTGTACAAGTTCTACTCAATCTGACGTTCACAAAATTAAACCATCCTCCTCTATGTCTGATGTTGAGAATGAAAGTGGGTGCAGCAAAAACGTGAATGAATGTTTGTCGGAAATTTTGGGTGAAGATTATTCCAATACTCAGATCCGTACCTCTCAGAAAGGCAATGAAGCAGATGATGTTTCAGCTATAGCGTTTACCAGTGACACTGTCCATGAAGAATTGAACTCTACTAATTTCATATCTACGCCTCAGATTGCCAAGTCTGAAAATAATATATCTTCCCGTCTTGGTATTCAAGACGTGGCAAGGAAATCTAATGGAGCGAGTTCTTCTGGAGCAAAGTTGAAACCATTTCTTGCTCCTGGTTTTCTGGAAAAAGGCCCACGGAAAAAATGTGTCAAGCAAGGTGTCAGTGAACCGGCTTCCAATAGTCACCTAAATGGTCAAACAAATGGGATTTTCAAACCCTATTTAACATGTCAAAATGGTTATTTGTTGCCAGATGAGGAGAGACATTATTCTGGCCTAAGCTGTTCTACTAATAATTTGGACAGGCAAACTGGGATGTTCGACGATGACACTAAAATGGTCTCCGGTGAATCTGATATGTCTATAAGCTCAGAAAGTGGAGTTGCTAGCTATCCAATAATATTTTGTAATGGAACCAAAATTGACAAAACCAATGAAAGGCTAAAGGTAGGAGGACATAATCTGATTTATCGTGGCAAATCCCATGGATAAATAGAGGTAGAATCTTCAAATGTATTGGAAGGCTCGTGAGGTTGACAAGGCGATGAATGATCACTTGTATCTGGGCCTCTTAGTTATGAAGTCTTGAATAGAAGCTTCAGACAAAGGTTTGAACCTTCCCAATTGATGTCTGCAGGAAATTATGTTTCCCATAGTTCAGTCAAAGTTGGAGATTACTTGTGGTGCTGGTGGCTGAACAGCTTAATTGTGCTTACAATGTTTTGCTGAATCAGATAATAATTAAGTGCTAAAAATTAGTAGATGATATTTCTTAATCAATTCTGGAGTAGTATTCTTTTCGTGTTTATATTATTCGATGTTTCATCACCCCAACTTCTTGTGATGAGATTTTGTCCGTGGTTTCGATGTTTATAGCTTTTTACACCTGTTTAACTTGGACAACTTCAAATGAAATGGAATAACCTTACTGCTCAGTTTTGGCACTTCCGGTATTATTTTCTAATTACTTATTGTTTATATTTTAATATCACGACTGCAGTAGTTTTTCTTACATTTGCGGGCTTGTTTGGTAAGATACTCATTATATCTGTTGTATTGTTGGATTATGTTCAGTGTTGCATACTAATATGCTGTTTTAGTTTAAGTTGAGATTTATGACTAAGCATTGATATTGAAAGTGAAATTGAGATTTCTCCAGTCTTAACTTCAGGCGTGTCAAATTTTTCTTGAACGTGCCTTTAAGGTAGCACAACATTTGAATTTTTACATTTGTGGTCAAGTTGGAAAGTAAAGATTCAGTGATTTTGGTCAAAACTTTGCTATCTGTACAGTGATTTTTAGCACTTTGGTTGACGTTTGCATTGTTGTCTTGTCAAGTGTTAATTGGATGGAAAAACTGTTTGAAATTTAAACTGTTCAATAGGATAATGTCATGTGACAAAGTGTAAATTAAATTGTACATCATACGTAGCAATTTTTTGACTAACTGAATACAATGGACCCAAAATCCTAGTGCTTAGCATTAACGATATTAAACGTCAATCTATGTTGCAGCAACACTTGTGACATTAAATCATCAGTTTAGCATCGCTTGCTTGTAAATGTGACACAGATAACAGTCACATTATCCTATAAATTTGGGATACATTTTAATTCGCTGGAGAATTGAAGTGAAGAAAAATTATTAAACAATCTGATTAGAGCTTCCAAAAAATTTAATTAGTTTGCAATTTTGAGAAGGATTAAACCAAAGACTGAAGCTTTGTCGTCCGTGCCCTCCATCATTGTCATAAACATTTGTTTGTACCCACAAACTCATAATCTGGTGCAGATGTCATCTGCTAATTTACATAAAATAAAAAATCATACATAAAAATATATATTTCAAAAAGAAGTAATTAGAAAGAACACCACTACATAAAAGCATGTAACAATTCCTCCTGTTTTCCTGTCTTGAATCTTCATTCTTATATGAAACAATCTGGATCCACATTCCAATTTGGACCTAAATCCAGCACCTATATATATCCACAAAAATCATAAAAATATAGTTTTCCTTCATATTTTCTTACCTACTTAAAATGTACAGATATATTTAGATTATATGCTTATATACATAGTTTATGGGAATTATTGCATTCATACATGTACGCTTACACAAAATGACTAGTATAATGAGAAAATTAACCCGAGGACTTATCAGTGCTAATTTCCGGATCCCAAAATTTTAGTATGCATGCAAAACCGTATTATGGAGTTAATAGTTAACTTGTTAAGTTAAAATTTGACAATAAAACATCAAATAAAATGTATTATACAAAAAAAGAAAAGAAAAGAAAAGAATTATATTATAATCAAACAACAAAGCCAACAATATTTCAAACAATCAATCAAATGCTATTCATTTTGCGATTTTAGAGGCAAAAACATTATTGAAATTTGAATAATCTACCTGTTTAATTATTTCTTTCTCAATTAATAATGTAGTCTATCAATTGAACATTTCTTGTTATATAGTTGATCGGAGATAAGATAAGATATGATTAATAAAATTTTGTAAGTAATATAAGCATTTGAGATGTTTTTAAATATTGTAGCACTTCAATTGCTCTCGTTTCTTCACTTAGTATATAACACCTCAAAACATGTAATTCAAAATCATTAATCATCTTGATTAATATTCGAACGTCAATTGTATTTTAGATACTTCTCAAGATTCATAACAAATTGAAAAAATTGCACTCTTTAACTGTTCTAAATTTAATAAAAATTGAAATATTTCTTCATATTATATCAATTGTTCAAATCAAATTTTAGAGAAGAAAGAGCTTAATTAATTATAAAAAAGAAGTATTCAACTCTAAAAGATTTTTTAATTGATTGATTTACCTCATCAATACTACTTTGTCAAATTGCTTCTTTATTCAAATTATACGTTTTTATCGGAATACATTTTCAATGCCCATTTTACTTGTCTTTTTTGTCAATTTATCCATGACATTAATAGCAAATTCAATTTCTCTATAGTTTTCGAGAAATAAAAAAATTCCTTGTAAGAAGTCGATAGCACCCTTAATATCCATGTTTTTTAGTTGAAGAAACTTACTCATAATGTCGATTGCATGTAACAATCTGAAGCAAATTACTATGCTAGGTAAGAACTCAAAATTTTGAGATTCCTATGTCGCTAAGGACTTGACTTTTCTCTTTATTTAAGGATCTTCGTTAATTTCTGTTAANAAAATCCTAGAAGAATGGTAAGGACAATTAAATTCAGTAAAGCCATTAAAGAAAATCAGATAGCAAACAATTGCAATTTATATCAATAAATAGAGTGCTTTGAGAGCTTGATGAGGAATTATGATCCTCTAGGGACTTTATATATATGTGTGAATTTATGTATACAGGTGGATTATATAAAGATCCTATTAGGTAATGCAATCAAAATTAAAACAATTAGGTGACAATTAATCTTGTTCTTAGGTGATTAAAATGAGTTATTAAGTTGGCCAATCGAAAATATGTGTGGATAAGCACCCGAGACATGTAGATATTGAAAAGTTGGGAAGTGCTACATGTACATAATTGTCTATATAATGATGTACATAATTATATGTAGCACTGAATCCAACATTTAATTTAAATTTCACACTCGCACATCAACAATCAGATGATTCATATTATGAACACCATTATGTGTAATAATTATGTACAATCATAATTTTTCTGAAAAGTTTTAATAAGCATTAGTGTGCATTTTAAATATGAGGAGCTGTCTCCCAATAGAAAATGAATGAAGTTGTTCCATTTACACTCACTCACTGCCAAGGTCTTATGTTACAACCCAAATTTTTCTAGTAAAAAATAAAATATTGAATTGTCAAAATCAAAGTCAAAAGGGATTAAAATGAAATAAATTATTTTAATTGGGACTCAATTTATTATGAAAAATATTTGAAGGTTTAAGTTGGACAAAATAAAATTTTAGATATCTACTTATATATTGCTGGAAGTTTAGAATTTAATGTTTTATTATAGAAATGTTGGAGGACCTTCTTTGCAATTTTGAGTTAGTGGCTACTTATTATATTACAATAAACCCATTTCAATTATAATTCAACACACACACACAGTAGGCAAAAACGGGAGAGGGCAGAGAGAGAGACCAAGAAGAAAGAGGAAGAAAAAGAGAAAGAAAGGAAGGAAGGAAGAAAAAGAAGAAGAAAAGAAAGGAAGGAAGGAAGGAAGAAAGGAGAAAAAGAAGAAGAAGGGAAAGAGGTAGTTCAAGGTTTATCTTCATTTTTCCTTCTCTTTATTTTCTCCAAGAGGCAGATAAATTTTATGTTAAGTTGCTAGGATTTAATTTGTGGCTAAAATTTCATATTTAAGCAAGATTTTTATTTAATATACCAATTTGCATGGATCTTGGTATAGGAGTATTATTATTTGGTCTCAGTGGTGCTAAGTACTTATTTATGTGACACATGGGTTCCCTTGAATTCAATTGAATAATATAAAGAAGTTGCAATTTTTTGACTAACTGAATACAAAGGACCCAAAATCCTAGCGCTTAGCATTAACGAAATTTAACGTCAATCTATGTTGCAGCAACACTTGTGACATTAAATCACCAGTTTAGTATCGCTTGTAAATGTGAATAAGACACAGCCACATTGTCCTATAAATTTGGGATACATTTTACTGGAGAATTGAAGTGAAGAAGAATCATTAAACAATCTGATTAGAGCTTCCAAAAAAAAAATTAATTAGTTTGAAATTTTGAGAAGGATTAAACCAAAGACTGAAGCTTTGTCGTCCGTACCCTCCATCATTGTCACAAACATTTGTTAGTGTTAAGAGATATGGGATTATTTATTATTTATTAAGGGTAGAATAATCCTTTTTAGTTTCCTTTGTTTAGTCTATATATATTCTCTTTGTATTTAGGTTAAACCATCTTTTAGCATTCAATTAATTACGTAGTATCAATGAAACCCTAGCCTCCTCCTTTTTCTTCTTTATTTTCTTTGGATTGTTTAACATGGTATCAGAACCAGATTTCATGGGACAAAACTTAATCTCAAATTATTTCTGGTATTTCTGCAATATGTTAAATCTGTTATTTCTGCAATTTGGTATTTCTGCAATCTGTTATTTTTTTTATTGGCTACTGAAAGAGACGATTCGCTTCAGTCTGTGAGTGTGAGGTTGGATGGAAAGAATTATTCGTATTGGAGTTATGTGATGAGAAATTTTCTTAAGGGTAGAAAGATGTGGGGATTCATTAGTGGAATTTCTGTGAAACCTGAGAATACCAATGAGGGTTATGCTGCTTTGATAGATGTTTGGGAATCAAACAATTCAAAAATTATTACTTGGATTAACAATTCTGTGGAGCATTCCATAGGTAGAGAGTTGGCAAAGTATGAGACAGCAAAGGAGGTTGGGGATCATCTGCAACGATTATTCACTCAGTCAAATTTTGCAAAGCAGTATCAATTGGAGGATGATATACGAGCTCTTCATCAGAATAATATGAGCATTCAGGAGTTTTATTCTGCTATGACTGATCTTTGGGATCAATTGGCCCTTACAGAATCGACAGAATTAAATGCATGTGCTGCCTATATTACTCGTAGAGAGCAGCAACGGTTGGTACAATTTTTAACAGCACTTCGAAGTGATTTTGAAGGACTCAGAGGTTCAATTTTGCATCGTTCTCCACTTCCTTCTGTTGACTTAGTTGTCAACGAGTTATTGGCTGAAGAAATACGTCTTAAGTCTTATGCTGAAAATGGAATTCTTTCTGCTTCTAATCCTTCTGTATTAGCAGTGTCTTCTAAGCCATCCTCTAATAATCAAAATAAGCCTTACACAAGGGTTGCCTTTGACGAGTGCAGTTTCTGTAAGCATAAAGGTCATTGGAAGGCTCAGTGTCCTAAGTTGAGACAGTCGAATCAATTACAACAGCAATCTCAAGCTT